GCTCTATGCTCATTCCTCTCTTATCTTTTGCACTTAGTTCTTTGTTGTAGTCTACCACACCACAGACATTGATGTTGTATCATGCCATCTTACTTATAATAAATCATAATGCAATGAGACTTCTCATACAGAACTATTTCCGTAGTCTTGGAAATACCGTGTTCTACTAGGCATTTTTACATGTGGATTATTAGGAAGATGAATTCCTCCTCAGTTGTACTGTTTAACTGAAACAATTATTTTTATAATAATACTAATTTTACTTTAAGTAGGAGGTCATTTATAAATATAGTAAGCAGTTATGATAGAGGTTAGTTTAGTGGAAAATTTAATAGAGGTAAAGGTAGGATAAAAAGTTGCCTCTGATTAATCAGAGGCTGCAGAGAACAAAAAGTAAAACAAGGAAGTGTCACACAGCTAGAACATATGAGCATCTATTGAGGAGTCATAGAGACAGTGGCTTAGATTAATGGTTAAGAAAAACAACAGAGTCCCAGTAGTCCAAATAGTTTAAATTCTTTTAATGTTAATGTTGGGAGATGTGTTCACAAGGTTTGGAGTGCATAATAGCTGAAACAAAGCATTAAAATAACCTATTTAGACTAAAATATTTTTGTTCAATAGATTTGAGGCAAAAATCCTAAGAAGACAATGTAAGGTTTAGAAGGGCACATAGTTGAGTGAGGGACTTGGTAAGGTCTGGGAACAAGAACAATGCAGCCCAATTATTTTTAGATGATGTTCCTTTCTTTCTAGGATATGTTGGTGACCAAAGGTGATGATTAATTCTTTGTGCCCATTTCTGCCCTCAGCTTCCTGAAATAAAACCTGTTGATGAATTGGTATGCACCCCGAACATTTAAAATTGAGCGAACTGGTATTTTTTCATATTCAGAAATTAGATTTGTGAGTCTTCTAATATTTCTTTTAAGATTACCATTTGAGATAAAAAAAATCAAATGATTGGTCCTTTCTTTGTAACCACAGAATGCAGAATACCAGAAAAAGAAATGGCTGAATAAAATGCATTGATTGCTCACACTATTTTTATCTATAGCAAGTTGTTCAGATATGAATGCATGTGGATTCTTGGGACAACTTGTTTTTCGCCTGTAATGTGTAAGATGTTTAACTATGTAAGGGATATAAATGTGCTATTTTTACTTTTATTCATTGTAATCATTTACTTGAAACGTATAATATAACCACATTATAATCTTTATTATGCTTGACAAAGTTTGCTGGGGTATATAAACTGTAAGGGTAAAATTAAATAGAGTTAGAAGGAATACATCAAGAATGAGAGAAGGAAGTCACCAGAAATAATAAAGAGAGAATATAGAAGTAGAATGAAGAAAAGGACAGAAGGAAACCATCAAGAGATTGTATGAGTGTTTATCCATCTCTCCTCTTACCCCCTCAGATAAAAAGTCTTAGTCAGCATACTCTGTGGATCCCTTTGAGCTCTACTCTGCTGGAGGCTGGTCCTCACAGTGGTGGTAACTAGCACCAGAAGCAGGGATATTGGAGTATTAATTAAGAAGACTGTTTCTGGGAGAAAGTCAGCTCTTCTTGGAGATTGTTCAGAGTGTGGTATACTCCTGGGAATTGTCCAAAAAGAAGATGCATTCCTCTAATGATCACCACAGATAGGATCTCCTTAATCGCGCTGCAGTAAAGAAGGAGGAGTTATCCAGCAGTTCCCTATTTTTCTTTACATTTTTCCTTTGTATAGTCTTTCCATCAGGATGGGTTAAGGAAAGTCTAAAGAAAAACAATGCTACATTGATATTATTAAACATATGCTTAAGAAAAAATAAGTTGAGATAAGCATTGGTCAGCAGACTGATTTTCTTAAGTTTGTGGAAAGAGGCTACGCCTAGTTTCCATATAGGCCACTTTTAGATGTAGAAAATTCAGATACAGTAGGGAGACAGATAAAGAGCTGGTATACAGACCTACTGCACACAGGACTGAGAGGGGAGTGATCCACTTCCCATTGGGAACACACATCCACCAGGCCCTTGGTTCTGGGTCAAAACTCCACACCTTCCCCCAACCCATCTCAGCAACACTAAGAGGTCAGCAGGAATGACTCCTGAAGGAAGGCTGCACCAACAACCCCTTGTGGGACCCTGTAGTCTACAATTCCCACGCCACTCCCCAATTCCACCCATCCCTGATGACCTCAGGGCCTCACTAGGACACAGATATGTATTGCAGAGAGGAATGAGGAAAAGAGTGAGATACAAGATTGAGAAAGAAGCCTGAGAGCAGCCCCTAGGAAACAGATGTGTCCTGCCCAGAGAAGGCAGAGAGAGATGGCTAAGAGGGTTGGATCAAGAAGCAAAGACACTTGCTGTACCAAGCAGAACAAGAGATGGGTAGATATCAATACAAGAATACACGCAACAACCTAAAGAGCACTATGGAAACACTAGAACCTAGTGATCTGAACATCTAAATGCAGAAGAAGCAGAAGAAAATAACTGTAAAAATAACTTGATCAAGATGATAGAAGTCCTTAAATAAGAAATTAAGATTTCCCTTAAAGGGATGAAAAAGGAAAAACTGAAAATTGAAGTAATAAAAATTCCCTTAAATAAATCTAAGAAAAAACAAACAAGTCCAAGACTTAAAAATTAAAATGGAAACAATCAAGAAAACACAAATGGAAGGAATACTGGAAATGGAAAGTCTGGGTTAAACAAACAAGAACCACAGATGGGAACATAACCAACAAAATGCAAGAAATGGGAGAGTGAATCTCAGGCGTTGAAGATATGATATAGGAAATAGATTTATCGGTCAAAGAAAACATTCAAACCAACAAAGTCATAACCCAAAATGTCCAGGAAATCTGGGACACCATGAAAAACCCAAGCCTAAGAATAATAGGGGTAGAAGAAAGAGAAGAGTACCAGCTCAAAAGCACAGAAAATATGTTCAACAAAATCACAGGAAAACTTTCCCAACCTAAAGAGAGAAATGCTTATGAAGATACAAGAAGCTTACAGAACACCATGACAAAACCAGATTTAAACATTACATAACCACAAATTGTGCCCTAAAGAAAACATTAGAAGGAAAACTCCAACCCAAGGAGGTTAGATGTACCCAGGAAACCACAGGCAATAAATTCTCATACACCAGCAAATCTTAAAGAAAGAAAATACACATACACATCACCACCAAAAGACAACAGGAATAAAAATCACTGGTCATTGAGATCCTAATGACGATACCCGATGCTATAGGGGAATGAAAATCTAAATGACTCTGAGATGCCATCTTACACCTGTCAGAAAGCCTAAGATTAAAAAATACTGAAGACAGGTTATGTTGGAGAGGATGTGTAGTCAGGAGAACACTCCTCCACTGCTAGTGGAGGGCAAACTTGTACAGCCATTTGGGAAGTCAGTATTGCAGTTTCTAAGATAATTGGATTTAATCTACCTCAAGACCCAGGATACCACTCTAGGGCATTTACACAAAGGATGCTCAATTATACTACATGTTCATAATAGCATTCTTTTAATAACCAGAACCTGGAAACAGCCTAGCTGCCCCTTAAGCAAAGAATGGATATGGACAATGTGGTATATTTACACAATGGAGTACTACTCAGCAGTAAAAAATAATGACCCCATGAAATTTGCAAACAAATGGATGAAACTAGAAAAAAAACATCCTGATTGAGATAACAGACTCAGAACGACAAACATGGTATGCATTCACTCATAGGTGGATATTAGATGTAAAACAACGGATAACGAAACTAAAGCCTACAGTTCCAGAGGTGCTAGGTAACCAGAGTGACTTCTTAGGGACACTTGAGTCACCCTGGGAAGAGAAATTAGATATCTCCAGGGCAAACTGGGGGCAGGGAGGTGGTAAGGGGGAGGGGAGAGGGGATGAGAACAGGATGGAAGGAGATGGCCTAGGTGGGGAGGGATGCAGTGGAAGAGCAATGAAAAGATATCTTCATAGAGAGAGCCACTATGGGCTTAGGGTAACTCTCAAGAATCCACAAGTCAGACCCCAACTAAGACTCCTAGCAATAGTAGAAAGGATGCCTGAACTGGCCTACCCCTGTAATCAGATTGATGAATACCCCAACAATTATCATAGAGTCCTCATCCAGTAAGTAATGGAACCAGACACAGAGATTCACAACCAAGAACGAGACAGAGCTCTGGAAATCCAGGTGAAGAGAGAGAGAGGAGGGAACATATTAGCAAGGGACATCAGGATCATAATGGAGAAATCTTACAGAGACAGCTGAACCAAACTTGTGGAAACTCATGGACTCTAGAAATACAACTGTGGAGACTCCACGGGTAGCAAACTAGACCCTCTGTATGTGGGAGACAGTTGTGAAGCTAGGACTGTCAGAGGGACCCCTGGCAGCAGAACCATGATACAAAACCGGTAGGTACATGAGCTAGCTTGTTGGAGCTCATTCCCTATGATGGGATGCCATGCTCAGAGGCAGTAAGGCCATGATATGATCCTGGTATATGAGTTAGCTTTTTGGAGTGTATTCCCTATGGTGGAATACCATTCTCAGTTTTAATGCATGGGAGAGGGGCTGGGCCCTGCCCAAACCTATTGTACGAGACTATGTTGACTCCTCTTGGGAGTCCTTACCTGTGAGGAGGACTGGACTGGTTGTGGACTAGGGGAAAGGTGAGGGAGGGTGAGAGGTGGCTAGGGTTTGGGAAGAGGGGTGGGCAGGAGACCCATGGTTGGAATGTAAAATGAAATCAAAAAAATAAAAAATGGAAAAAAGAATAGGTATACAGAGAAAGAAGGAAACGACATGACTCTTAGAGCATTCTACTTGTAGAGTGCTTAGATTGGTCCTCACAGTGGCCACCGCCTAATCTGTAATTCTGTAATTCTATGGGCTGAGAGGTGACCTGTTCAGGACTGATAAGGAGTGGTTAATGAATCACCCAGATAGGCTGGACTGAGCTTGTAAAGTGCTTATTAGGAACAACATATAGAATACAGGTTTCTTTCTTTTTTGTGCCTATCCACAGTTCCACGCTTCAAATCTCCTCCTAAATTTACTTGAGTCTTTTTTTCTCAGCTCACAGATGACTGCTACAAATCATAAAGAGGCTTCCAAAGGCTTGTTACACACAGACCGCACTACTCCAGTCAGCCTGCAAGATAAAGCAATTGGTATGTATTTTAATTCAATTTGAATCAAAATAAGAGATAGAGATGAAATTCACCTGGGGCCCTCAGAGTAGCTGAAACACCTGCCTGTCAGCCTGTCATGGTGGGTCTCTGTAGAAGTGGAGGTCTGAGGAGGGCTCTCCTATATTAGCTACTCTGTCAGAGTACATAATATTCAAGTATTTTTAGGCAAGAGAAATTAATAATGAATTAATTACAAAGGCCTGAGACATGATTTTTGTTTTTTTGTTTGATTGGTATGGGGTACATTTGTTAAATTTCTCTTTGGTGTGTATGGCAAAGGACCTGTGGGGACAGCAGCCTGAGGATCATTTAACCAGCATAAGATATGGGCGGGTGCAAGCATGGTGTCTTTGTTTCCTTTTTCAGTCATTTTCCCCAGTGCTGAGTATGCTGCTTTCCTTTGTCATAAGCTCAGGGATGTTTGATCTGTTGGAAAATATAGGGTTAATTCATAAAGTTACTGTAAACACAGGAGGATTTTATGTAAATACAGGCATGTCTCTTAGATACAGGGCATGAAGGAAATGTAGTCTATTTGTAACAAAATGCTAAACTATTTTTCAACTATTTCCCCCAGATTTTGGTAATATTAAACATAGTTAATGCATATATTTATTACATAAGCAAAATTTCATTCCATAATAAGGCTCATTTTTTCTTTTTAAAATCAATGTGTGTTTATAATGCATGTGCATGTGTGCTGTAGACTGGGGATGATGGACAATTCTTAAGTAGAAAGAGGATAAATCTCTTCTGCATATGATGCTTAGATAGTGGGTTTTCATGGTAAGACTCACAGTTCATCCTGTGTATTTATAACAGTCTCAAAATGTATCACAAACCCAAATATGAAATATGGAACTTAAATCTATTTGAAGAAAAAAATGAAAAAATATCTTTATAAATAGGATCTTTCTTAGGCAAAGATTTCTTGGTTACAATACCAAAAACTTTACCAATACACTAGAAAAATAAGTTGGATTTAGTGCAATGAGCACTCTTCTCTGGGCTCTAAAAAGGAATAAAAAGATAAACAGAGGGCTAATAGGGTGCTCCCCATGCTCTATGTGTGTGTGTCTCTAAGTCTGTCTGTCTGTCTCTCTGTGTGTTTATCTCTAGCTGTGTCTGTCTCTGTCTCTCTGGAAAGAAATTGTACCTACAATGTACTACGAGTTTTAAAAACCCAATATTTCATTAGATGTGTAATTGTGTATTTAGAAGTGCTATGAATATTGCTATCCTTATACAGTTATTTGCATATGATAACTGCTGGTGTATGAAAATGAAATGTGTTATGCCCATTGACATATTTTCCTGCAACATTGTAAAGTCATCCATCATTTTTACAGCCCTTTTAATAGACTTCTTAGAAATTTATGCCCACAGAAACAGCTGACCTGAACAAGGAAAATGTACATGGACGCCAGACTAATACCTGGGAAACCAGCATAGGACCAACCCAGACCTTCTGAAAGTGGGTGTCAGTTAGGGGCAACCTATGGGACATCTGGTAGTGGACCAGTGTTTATCCCTAGGATACTAATAGAATTTGGGCGCTCATTCCACATAGAGAGATACTTTGTCAGCCTAGACTCACGGGTGAAGGCTTAGACCCTGCTCTAAGTGATATGACAGTTTTGAAGATCCCCCATGGAAGGCCTCACCCTCTCTGAGGAGCAGAAAGGGGATGGTACAGGGGGTTGGTGGGGGGCAGGGGAGGGAGAGGGAACTGGATTGACATCTAAAACAAACTTGTTTCTAATTTAAATTTAAAAAGGAAAATAAAAGAAATGTATGTGTAGATATATCCATGTTGTCTGAATATCAAGACATTTATCTTTATGAGGCCTGTTTTTTTTTTATTCTTTCCCTACTGTCCTTCTTAGGACTCCCAGAGTCACTAGAATATTGAGCAGACACCCTTATCATTTTCTGTGTGACCTTTACCTGCTCTTGCAGGTGCTTCAAATTGATGTTCTGATACTTATATTCTCAGGTAAAAAGCTCCATGGAAAATTTCTCAGAACCATCTCCACTGAGTCTCCTGTTAAGCTTTACTGCTGCTATGCAGTGATCATGGTCCTCACTGTAGCTGTGATTACACTTTCTGTTGCTTTGTCATTGTCAGGTGAGTGACTTGTTCTCCAAATTGTGCAACATTTTCTACTATGTTGTCAGCAAATGCTTAATAACTACTATGAGCCAGGCACTATGTGGAGGACTCTAGAGAAAACACACCGGAATGTCATGTTCTCTGGGAACCGAGGGTCTAGCAGGAAGATAAAGAGAAGGGACAACACAGGCTGTGGTGTGCACAGGAGGCCAGGCTCAGCATCCCTGGAAAGACGACATTCATCAAGCTCTAGACAGAGATACAGGAGACGTATGTCCACCATGGGGGAACTATTCAACACAGAGAAAAAGGAGAGGAAAACTTGAAAGGAGACTCTCAAAGAGATTGCTACAGCTAAGGGAAGTGAGAACAGTGAAGAGTAATAAGGTTGAGGAAGGTGTAGAACCCGCACCCCATGGCCCATGGTTTCAGTTAATATCTTCAACTGTGGTTTGACAATATTAAATAGAAAGTTCCAGAAGATGTGATTCCTAAAGTTTTAGTTGTAGACTTTTCTGGATACTGTGATAGACTTGTACAACTTTGTTGCCATATTGGGAACAAATGTTCCATGTTATCAATATATATTGGTTTTCTGAGACAGGGTTTCTCTATATAGTCCTGACGGTTCTGAAACCCACTATATAGGCCAGGCTGGCCATGAACTTGGAGATTCACCTGCCTCTGCCTCCCAAGTACTGAAATTAAAGTCAAGCCTGATCACTGCCCAGAATTGTTTCAGATTTTTTAAATGACAGTCATTCTGACTGGTTCTAATAAAAGCCAGTATATGGTTCTATATATTTAATATGCATGTGATAGAATTATAGGGATCCCACAATTAAAATTTTGATATTAAAGAATCATCTTACCCATGGTTTGCAGGCTGGCATTTTTCTACAGTAAAACCCACACAGGTGAGGAGTTTTCTTTCTTTAGCCAAGAGAATAGCAGAATGTGAAGGATGATTCTGGGAAAAAGAAGTTATGGAAATCCAGAAACCAGTAACAGCCCTAAGGGGCTGATAACTTAGAAATGATTTCATCACAGAATATGGTGTATTTAGTCTCAGCACTCAGGAGGCACATCCAGTAGGATTACGACAAGCTCCAGACAAGTACAGTCCATGCAGTAAGATCCAGGCCAGGCAGGGGAACATATCAAAATTCTGTCTCAAATCACAAAATACAAAGAAGAAAAATAAAAGTATTTCCTCAGAAACTACCAGAAGAGCCTGGGTAGAGGAACCATAATTCTAGGATGGGTCTCCTGGTGATCAGTTATGAATGTACACTCCAAGGACACAACCCTCCTCTGAGATTTGGGTGGCTAGCCAAGCGACCAGACATGGAATTATTCTTATTATATTTCATTATACTGTTTACATTTTAGTGAGACCAGTCACTGAGAACTGTGAAACTTGCTCTGCCACCTGCCCAAGAGACTGGATTGAATTTGGAGGCAAATGTTTTTATTTTTCTGAAGACACGAGAAACTGGACATTCAGCCAGACCTCCTGCATGGCACAAGAGGCCCATCTAGCTGTATTTGACACCATAGAGGAGCTGGTAAGAAGGACCAGAATTGGTTTATGCTTTGTTCTGTTGGATGTGTACTGCCTTGACATGGAGATCTTAAAGCTGAAACACGAGGAAGTACTCTACCCTAGGCAAATGACCATAGATGGAGCTAATTAATGTGTGTCATTTGCTGGCGTTATTGCTTCCGGCTGGAGCCCTGACACATTGGAGAGACATCTTGTCATGCAGTGCTCATACTAAAACCCGTAATGCCAGACATACAATCTACAGGTCATTTAAGTTTTCCTCCAAGCATTCACAAATTGTGTACTGAAAGTGGCATCTGTCAAAACTCTCACGGACATTTTTCATCAGGAAATTTCCCAGCTGCCATGGGAAGGGAGCAATGTATTTTGGACTATGGATATAAAATGCATCCACTTCAACCAGATGGTTATTATGGCTCCAAAATCAATGACCCTCAGCTGCTATCCTGAGAGGTGGCTGTAGTTTGGAGACACTCAAGGGTCACCTAAAGCTGAGAGACACATGTATTTGTTTTCTGTGTTTTTGACAGAATTTCCTGAAGAGATACAAGGGGCCTTCTGACTACTGGATTGGCCTGCACAGAGAGTCACCAGAACACCCTTGGCTGTGGACAGACAACACTGAATACAACAACTTGTATGTTTTCACAACACTTTTCCTTCTACCGTGATCATTGTTGTGATGTGATGTGATGTGTGTGTGTGTGTGTGTACGTGTGTGAAAGTGTGTGAGTTTTGTCTATAAGAGAATGATTGTGTCACATGACACCAACTGTACTGGAAAGAAAGACATGTAAACCTTCTAAGTGCAGATGTGGCTCAGAGGCAGGATTGCAGTTACATACAGAGCCAATTCCTAGAAAACTCCACATGTCTACAAATTTAAATCATTGAATGTTCTTCAATTTATTGGCCATCATTTTCAAAGCTTTTACTTAGTGTGATTTTATTCAAAATCTTTTTTAGCTTGATAATGACACCTGGGGTAGATGTTGTCTGCTCCATCACTAATCAAAAATTTTCCTTGATGATAGACACTCTCATAAGAAGAAGACAGAAGCTGAGATTGGCAGTGAGGTCTTTGAAATCCCAGGAAGCCACTGTAGACATGCGGGGGTAATAGGACTTGTCAGTTCACTGTGTGCACAGAAGCAGAGACTCCAGGGACATTGGGAATCTCCTCTAAAGTCTCATCAAGAAAGGACACCCAGACAGCTCCTGGATGAGAGAATAACTTTTTGAATGGAACAATAGGACATAGGCTGGGTCATGCCCATCATTAAAGACCTCTCAGTAATTTACTAAGAAATTTTTTTCCCATTTTTAAACATGTGTAAAATGCTTTAAGATATAACTGAAAATCACCCTTTGTGAAACCACCATTGAAAGACTCACATGAACAAATGATGAAGGTGTGGTATTCAAGTCAAACCCCTGAGCATGTAAAATGCTAGGTGCAAAATTATTTCAGATGTTTGAATGTAGTATGACCTGTATGGAAATTTTTTGTTTGTTTGTTTGTTTTTTTGCTTTAGGGTTCTCACCCAAGGAGGAGGAGAATATGCCTACCTGAATGACAGAGGGATCAGCAGTGCCACGGAGTACACACATAAGAAGTGGATTTGTGAAAAGTCTAACAGATGTACTTCTCAGTGCCCAGAAATTTTAGACCCAGGATAGGGAATGTGCCAAAGCATGCATGAGAAACAGATGCTCTGTGACCTGTTATCTACAGTTGCTGTTGCTCTCCTGATCTGCTAACATTATCTAAATTCACAAAGATGGAAACTCACTTATAGGATCACAGATATGGGAAGAGAGCATGGATGATTCTAAATTAAATAGCTATTTGGGTATGAGTTAGTATTCACATCTTTTTTCTTTTGGTATTTTTGTTCTTTTTTTATTAATTTATTTCTACATTCCAATACCAGTTCCTTAGTATTCATATCTTAAACCTAAAGTACAATCATGTTTTAGTAAAGTCTGTTTTAGTGAGCTCTACCTTTATGGCCAGATATGAATTTTTCCTTAGTTCTTGTATTGAATGCATGAGGCATAAAATTGTGGGTTTATTGAACCTATGCATATGGTTCACTAATCACAGGAAAGATGAGTTTGGTCTGTGTAGTTCAAATAAACATGATCATATTTTTACAAAATTCAGTGACCCATATGAAGGGAGATCTAGACAAGATCACATTCTATGATTTAATACCATTATCGGAACGTTTTCAACTTTACTTTACAGTGTTCTTTGTTAATTAAAATAGACTAGGAATACATTAAAGCAAATATAATTTTAGTTTCCTAATTTAACATTTTTCAGAGTTTCATATGTGAGTATGCCTTTCGAATTTTATTCTTTATCAGGCTCTTTTCAGATCAGGAGCAGTTAATTACTGTACATACTTTAAAGCTTTTGATGCCTAATCTTGCAATCATTTACACATTTTTAAGTTTGAGGAACAAAATATTTTAATTTTTTTGATCACATGCTTCACTGTACTGATGAGTCCCAAAGAGGACGAAATAACAGGTCACAAGCATCTCTCCTGTTAGCGCTCTTCTTACCTTATTGACATGTATATTATACCTTCTCATGCATGCTAGGCAAACTCTGTACTACTGATATTAAACACCATCCGTTTTTGTAAATTTTGTTTACAAACGACTGGAATTGGAGCTATGAACTACCACATAGGACATATCTTTAATCTTTATGAACACATTTGCTCAGGGTCAGTTATGTGTCTCTGAAGACAAAAGCACCAGCCACTAAGAGTGATAACCTGAGTTTGACATCTGGACTCTCACTTTGGAAACAGAAAAACTTCCCCACCAAGTTTGTCCTATGATCTTCAAACTTGTACTGTACATACACATTCACAAACAAATAATAAAATCAAATAAAAAATTAATGTCCACTTTCTGTAGTAGACTGTGTTTATTTTGAATCTGTATTCTTACTTTTATTGTCTTTCTTTCGTTCTATCTTTTATTTTGTTTTGTTTTTGGAGACAGAATATCCCTGTGTACCTTTGACTGTCCTGACATTTGCTTTGCTTTGTAGACCAGTGTGGTCTTGAACTCAAATTTGTCTTTCACTGCCTCGCAAGAGGTGGGTTATTCAGTCATGAGCCACCAATAGAGTTATCCTGTTTATTTTTTAAAATTTAAATACAAACATCTTTATTCAGGCAAATACTTTTCTCAGTGTTCTGTTTCAACTTTGTTTAGCCCTTTTTGCTTTGCAATCTCTTTCATTTCCAGTAAACTTATAGAAGGTCCTGTGTGTACTTCACTTCTGTATTCAGAGAGAATAGCACAGTGTGTCCACCACAAGTGTTCAAATCACATATGCAAGGAAGATATATTGTCATGGCAGTGACTATGGGAATTCCTCTTGGATTATATGTAGCATAAGTTACAAAAAGGATCTTTTCCTACAAAAATTCAAAGAAACAAATGACTTTAGATCACTAAACTGTGTGTGGTTGTCAGCTGACCTTCTTTCCTTGGGAGATGCAAGACACAAATCTACTCACCCCAGGGAGGGAGCACATGGTGGACCAAAGTACCGATATCACTAAGTTCAACTTGGTCAACAGTGAGTCTTACCGGGTTACTTATAAGGATATGGATGGGCAGTTACTTACAAGAGCAGAACTGACTCAAAGATAGATATTGGGAATCAATCTTCAAGCTGAGGATCAGAGAAGCAAAGCAGCCAAGACACTACCTTTCACCTCTACCTCAAACTGAAATGGCAATCCAGTCTCCACCAGGCTACAGACTCCAATCCCAGATTTCTGCATCTCTTCAATGTCAAAACAGTCAAATTCCCTCATGAGACCCTTTGCTTCTTCCTTTTATACCCCCTCAGGTTTAGGATTAAAGTCATGTGATTCCAGGTGCTGAGATCACATTTTGTGAGACGTTTGTCTTTCAGGATGGATCAATTTTGTGTAGCTCAGTGTGGATTTGAACTAGCAGAAATCCACCTGCCTATCTTCTGAGTCCTGGGATTAAGGCTGTGTGCAACCCCTGCCTAGACCTACAGCTAGTTAATATGACTGTTGAGATTAAAGGCTTGTGGCTAGCTTTGCTTTCTGTACCCTCAGACAAGCTTTAATACATCATAAATAATATATTACCACACATTTCAGCATGGGTGACAGCTCATTAAAACTGGTACACTGGAACACACTGCACAGCCTGCAAACAGCTCATCCATTTGGAGAGCTCCTTCTTGGTTATTTTTCTATGCTGTGAAATACTACAAAGACTAAGGCGATTTATGAAGAAAGAAGTTATGGACAGCTTGCTTAGCATTTCAAACGGTGAGGTGATGAGCATCATAGTTGGCAGCAGGCAAGCAGGTATGGCCTGGAAGCAGTGGCTTATGTATGGAGACAACATTCACGAGGCAAAAAGAGATAGCTGACTAGGAATCCTATGGGCATTTGGATCCCCAACCCCAAGACACAACTGCTGCAATAAGGTCACACAGCCTCCAACAAGGCCACTCTCCTCTAACAAGGCCATACTTCGTGATCTTCTCCAAACAGATGCAGTAAATGTGGACCAAGCATTCAAATGCATGAGCCAAGGGAACATTCTCCTCCAACTCAGCACAGTGTCCTCTCCAGGGCCCCTCCTCTCGGCAATCCTGCTGGTCTCTGTTTCTTCCAGGCAGCTGCACTTGTCTGAGAGTGATTCTCAGTAGCCACTTACTGCATATACACCCCGGGGGAGGAGACCTAGTGATTCTACTCAGTGTCAGGAACTTTGTGAAGCCATGTTGGTTTGTTTAATTCCTGTCTTCCTAGTTTCTTTTCAGTATGGAATATTTCCCTGAGGAAACTGCAGCACTACAATATTAATTCACAAAAGACGTTTGATTGATGTTGTAACCCCAGCTGCTATAACACTTATGTACAAACTGACTTCCAAGTCACATACTAAGAAAATGTAGATTACCTCATCTATAATCCAGTATCTTGAAAATTTTTGTAGCCCAGATCACATGGCTTATTCATATGTAAAACAGGTCAGTGGATGTCTATATTACTGGCAAACGCATCCACGAATGTACCTCACCAGGCTCAGTAAATGCTTACTATCCTGTTCTTCCACTGTTGCCTCATGGGAGTGAAAATTACAATAGCAGTAGTCTTCACTAGACTGTACCTTCTTAGTGACACTACTGCCACCTACTGGTAACAGCTGTTCAAAACAGTCTCATAGTGAATTCACCACCAGTTGAAGGGAATGAAATTTCTATTTCATTGTTTTCCTGAATAGTGACAAACTGGATGCGTACTTATGTCATGAAGGATAATAAGCCCTGGCACTCAGTGGCTTCGTAGTCACAGTGTTTTCTGTGGTCAGCATTGTTTGATGAAGTTATTTCACACATTTCAGGAGGTATACAAAACCACATTATAAAAGCTTTATAGAGTGAGTGTAGCAATGCACATCTTTAATCTCAGCAACCAACTGGCAAAAGCAAAAAGATCACTGTGAGTCTTAGGCCATCCTGGTCTGCATAGAAAGTTCCAGGCCAGCCAGGGCTGCATAGTGAGATCCTGTCTTCAAAAGAAAACAAACAACAAAAACAGAGCTAAAAACAACACCAGTTTTATGTTAGTGCTCTACTTAAAAGCAAAATCCCACTGAGTGGCTGGATAAATGGCTCAGCATCTAAGAGCACTGGCTGCTTTTCTTGAGGAATCAGGTTTGGTTCTTAACACTGCATTGTGGCCCATACCCATCCCTAACTCAAGTGTTAGGGGTTCTAGTGCCTTTTCCCACTTTTGTAGAAACCATGTACGTACATGGTACACATAATTGCAAGCAGGCAAACACTGACACATTTTGAAAATAACACAAATATATGCATATGTATATATACGTGTCTATATATATATCTACACATACAACATACATACATACATATACTTAAAATGACAATAGGAATCTCTATTACCATCTGCATGTCCGAGGTTCAGAAGAGATTTGAACCAAAATTTATAGTGAGACCATGCTCTCTTTGGAAGATGAAGGGCAAACTCTGTCTTGGCCTAACAGTCTCTAGAGGAGACCTGTTTTTCTTCAGAAGAATACCATGAACCATCTTCAGAGCAAACAGTGTAGCATCTTTAACTTTTTCTCTGATGCTCTGCCTTCTCTATTGAGGAACCCATGATTAGAATAGAACACCAAGTTGATTCAGAAAAATCTCTCCATCTCAAGGTTTTTAATCATTCTGAAAATTTCTTTTTTATGCAAGGTAACATGCATACAGGGTTGGGGTGTTAGGACAAGTAGGTCTGACACCATATTTCTTATAATTACACATGTATGACTTTAAACAAACATCATGTCTGAAGGACCATTTGAATGTGGTCTGCTTTTTCCCCAAAAGCTGAAGTCTTTTGTCTTGTAAATACATTGTTATTTATGCTCCTCATTCATCTTGTCTCTCTATAATGCTGGTTGTCAAAGCAGAGGGTCCAATGACAGTGAGGCAGAGCAAAACTGGGACTAAAAACTTTCATATCATTTTCCTGTTTTTGTATCTTTTAAACACAGTTTTTGAGACATCACCCACATTTGTGTCTAGGCCTTTCCCATGATGCATGTACCCAAGAGTCAAGAGTGTCTGTTGAGCAACTATAGTAACTACATGGTTTTCTAAGCTGAATTAAGTTGCATGTGTTTCCGTAGACCTCAGCTGCCTCAGCTTCCTCTACCTAGGAAGACCAGAAATCGACTCCTGAGGTAAGTGTTGCATCACATCTTTAGGTGAAATTAATGGTAAGTGTGCTTCTTTTTGTAGAGGTGGGGTTATGTCTCGGATTTTTTACTAGGAACAGACAGAAAGAGAGTAGAAGCTATTTGGTACATAAACACTAACATCAAATTTATATATGTTGACTAGCTACTTTAAATACATGAAACAGAGTGGTCAACGGAATCTCAACCCAGGGAAAGAAGTACGGACAATTAAAGAATGCTGAGGAGGAAGAGCACACCAATTGATTTTCCATTGTCAAATGGTCAGCTCTGCAAACATACACACAGGTAAATTATACCGTTTGATCCGGCTCTCTCCCCCTCTTTCTCTCTCTCTTCTTATATATATTAAACAATTAATGGAAAATAGGCCATTAATATGAAAGACAGTAAGGAGGGTGTGCCTATACAGGAGAGCTTTGAGGGATTATATTAGAATCTCAAAAAAATTAAAAAGCTTAAATGAACTGTAACTTTTTAAACAACTTTAATTTTTTATTTACTGATTTTCCTTTTCTTTTCTGAAAATAGATTTTTTCACACAATATATTCTAATATGGTTTCCCTTCACAACTGCTTCCAGATCCTCCCGAATCTTTCTAATCCACCCTAATACACAACCCTTATTTCTCTCTCATTAAAAACAAACAATAATATAAAATATTTAAATGCATTTAATTTACTAACATAAACTAAAATCAGAAAAGCCAGAATAAAACAAAGCAAACAAACAAACAAGGGGAAAAATCAAAACAACAACAAACACATACAGATGCATCAGAATCAATAAGATATGAACAAAAGACATGTAATCTTAACTTTTTTTTGCAGACAAACCACAATGAGACAAAAAATACCTCCAAATATACATTTTGTTTGTTTTCCATAGGCCATCCACATATATCCTAGACTTAAGTGTGGTTTGTGTTACCAGTGAGACCAATGAAGAAAAACACTTTCCCTGTCTAGGTGGACATCATTTGCTATAGCTCAGTAGTACACAGATGGTGATGCTTCCAGAAATTATTTTTTAAGTTTTTTTCTCCAATTTAAAATTTAAACTAGAAACAAGTTTGTTTTACATGTCAATCCCAGTTCTCTCTCCCTCCTGTCCTACCCTGCCCTCCACCAATCCCTATCTCATCCCTTTCTACTCCCCAGGGAGGGTGAGGCCTTCCATGGGGGATCTTCAAAATCTGTCATATCATTTAGAGCAGGGCCTAGAACCCCCTCCCATGTGTCTAGGCTGAGAGAGTATCCCTCTATGTGGAGTGGAATCCTAAAGTCCATTTATGTACTAGGGATAAATATTGACCCACTATCAGAGGCACCATAGATTAACCAGTCCTCCAAACTGATATCCACATTCAGGGGGTCTATTGAGTTTGCTTCTTTTTGTTCTAGAGCTTTCAGTTGTGCTATTAATTCTCTAGTGTAAATATTCTTCACTTTCTTCAAATGAGCACAAGTGCCACTTAAGTTTGCGTATGTTTTGTCTTCATTCTCATTGAATTCTAGGAAGTCTTTAACTTCTTTTTTAATTCTTCCTTGACCCAAGAATGGTGCAATTGCACATTGTTCAATTTCCATGAATTTGTAGGTTTTCTGCAATTTGTGTTATTGTTGAATTCTAACTTTAAAGCATGGTGGTCTGATAATTTACAGGGGTTTATTCTATTTCTTGTACCTCTTTAGATTTTCTATGTTGCCACATATGTGATAGATTTTAGATAAACTTCCTTGTGTTGCTAAGGAGAAGGTATAATTTTTTGTGTTTGGATGGAATGTTGTATAGATGTGTGTTAAACCTAATTGGGTCACAACATCTGTTAGTTCCTTTGTTTGTTTGTTATGTTTTTGTCTGGTGGTCCTGTCTATTGGTGTGAGTGGGTTGTTGAAGTCTCCCAATATAAGTGTGTGATGTTTTATGTGTGATTTGAGTTTTAGTAATGCTTCTTTTATGAATGTGTATGCCTTTGAATTTGGGGCATAGAATTGAAACTTCATCTTGGTGAATTTCTCCTGTGATGAATATGAAATGACTTCCTTCATGTCTTTTGATTGATTTTAGTTTAAAGTCTAATTTGTTAGATATTAGGATTGCTCCCCCACTTGTTTCTTGAGTCCATTTGATTGGGAAATCTTTTCTCAACCCTCAACTCTGAGGTACAATCTGTCTTTGAAGTTGAGGTGTGTGCTTGTTTGCAGCAGAAGGATGGGTTCTGATTTCATATCCATTCTGTTAGCTTGTGTATTTTTATAGGAAAGTTAAGACCATTAATATTAAATGATATTAATGACCATTGATTGTCAATTCAGATTTATTTTGGATTTGTTGCTATTGGTAGAACTGTGTGTGGATTTTTAACCCCTTTGTTTTTTTTGGCTGTTGGTAAAGTGGGACTATCTATTGCTTATGTTTGGGTTGAAGTTTTGTTTCCAGAACTTTCTGTAGAGCTGGACCAGTGGATATGACTGTTTATATCTGGTTTTGTTATGTAATGTCTTATTTTCTTCATCTGTAGTGATTGAAAGCTGTGCTGGGTATAGTATTCTAGGCTGATATTCATGGTTTCTTAGTGTTGGGAGAATATGTATTCAGTAACTTCTGTCTTTCAGAGTTTCTGTTTAGAGGTCAGGTATTTATGATAGGTTTACCTTTATATGTTACTTGGCATTTTTCCTTGCTGCTCTTAATATTCTTTCCTTATTCTGTATGTTTGGGGTTTTGATTATTGTGTGACGAGGGGACTTTTTTTGATCCACTCTACTTGGTGTTCTGTAAGCTTCTTGTACTTTCATTAGCCTGTTTTTCTTTAGTTTGGGAAAGTTTTCTTCTATGATTTTGTTGAATATGTTTTCTGCACCTTTTAAGTGGGTTTCTTCACCTTCTTGTATACCTATTATTCTTAGGTTTGGTCTTTTTATGGTGTCCTATATTTTGTGGATATTTTATTTAGGGCTTTTTTGGACTTAAGATTTGCTTTGGTCAATGAATTTATTTTGTTCCTAGTGTATCTTCAACACCTGAGATCCTCTCTTCCTTTTCTTGTATTCTGTTGGTTTTGCTTTAATCTGTTATTCCTGATCATTTACGCAGCTTTTCTATTTCCATCATTCCCTCAGGTTGTGTTTCCTTTATTGTCTTTATTTCAGTTTTCAGTCTTGAACTGTTTCCTTCATCTGTTTGATTGTTTTCTCTTGGATTTCCTTAAGAAATTTGATGATATCTTATATTTTTTTGGTTTGTTTTTTCTTCCATTTCTTCAAGGATTTTTCTCATATCTTCTTTGAGGGCCTCTATAATTTTCAGGAAGTTGTTTTTAAGATCATTCTCTTCTGCTTCATCTGCATTGGGATGTTCAGGTCTTGCTGATGTAAAGTCCCTAGACTCCAGCGGTGTCATATTGGTTTTTCTGTTGTTGAATGTGTTTTTATATTGTCTTCATTCCTTCCCTTCTTCCAGTGGGTGCAGAAGGAGTTTCTTCCTCTCCTGGTGGGTATGGGTTCAAGGTTCCTTTCCAGTTGGTGTAAGCAGTTCCAATATTCAGATGGTTCTCTTCTTCTCTTGGGTGGAGGTGGGACTAGTACCAGGGTCTTGGCAGTCTCTGGGTGGGCTGGAATGTGTGATAGGTAGCAGAAGGTGGGTCAGCTGTTAGATTCTTGATGCCTCCTTTCTCTTTCTTTTCTTTTCTTTTCTTTTTTTTTGTTTGTTTTTACGAGACAGGGTTTCTCTGTACTGTTTTGGAGGCTGTCTGTCCAGCCCAGCCTCGAACTCACAGAGATCTGCCTGCCTCTGCCTCCCGAGTGCTGGGATTAAAGGCGTGTGCCACCACCGCCTGGCTTCTCTTTCTTTTTTTATTGTCTTTTTTATCATTTTTATTTTAATTTTAAATAGCTTGTTTTACATGTCAACCCCAGTTCCCTCTCCCTCCCCTCCTCCCGCACTCCCCTTCCCCCCCACCCTCCCACCCTATTGCCAAATCCTTCCACATAGGGGATATCTAGAGTCTGTCATTTCACTCTGGGTAGGGTCCAGGCATTCCCCTAAGAGTCCAGGCTGAGAGAGCATCCCTCTTTGTGCTATAGGCACACAAAGACTGTTTGTATTCCAGGGATAGACACTGATCCACAGCTCAGGGCCCCATAGGTTGCCCAGGCCTTCTCACTGACACTCACATTTGGGGGGTCCAGATCAGTCCCATGCTGGCCTCCCTGCTGTCGGTCTGGGGTCCAAGAGCTCTCCCCTGTTCAGATCAGCTGTCTCTGCTGGTTTTGCCAGCCCATTCTTTGCCAATTTGCTCATCATTCCTCTCTCTCTGTCACTGGGTTCCTTGGGTTCAGTTCAGTGATCAATTGTGTGTTTGCCTCTGCTTCCATCAATCACAGGATGAAGGCTCCCGGATAGTTATAGACATCAAGTTCATTATCAGGAATGGGCATTCGAGGTGGTCTCTCCACTATAGCGTAGCTTGCCAATTGGTGTTATCCCTTTAGATCACTCGAGGTCACTCTGGTGCCTGATCTGTCTTCTAACCTATGATTCCCTCTTCCCCCTAATCTACCCCCGCCCCCTCAACTTCCTGTTCCCCCATGACCAACTCTCTTCCTCTTCACCCCCTCTCTTCTTCCCAGGTCCCACTCCCCCCCAACCCTCGCCATGTTCCCCATCCATTCAGAGGATCTTGTCTCAATCCTCTTCTCTTGGCAACTATGCATATATGCATATCTTTTAGGTTCTTTCCTGTGTTCCCAGACTCTCTACCAGTGGGAGTGCAGACTGGCACTGTCCTGATCCATGTCTAAAATACATATATGAGTGAGTACATACCATGTTTGTCTTTTTGTGACTGGGTTACCTCACTCAGGATGGTTTCTTCCAGTGCTATCCATTTATCTGCGAATTTCAAGATTCCATTGTTTTTTTCTGCTGAGTAATACTCCATTGTGTAAATGTACCACATTTTCTCTATCCACTCTTCAGTTGAGGGGCATCTAGGTTGCTTCCAGGTTCTGGCTATTACAAATAATGCTGCTATGAACATAGTGGAGCAGATGCCCTTGTTGTATGAACTTGCCTCCTTTGGATATATGCCTAAGAGTGGAATTGCTGGGTCTAGTGGTAGATTAATTCCCATTTTCCTGAGGAATTTCCATACTGATTTCCAAAGAGGCTGTATGAGTTGGCCCTCCCACCAGCAGTGGAGGAGTGTTCCTCTCTCTCCACATCCTCTCCAGCATAAATTGTCTTTGGTGTTTTTGATTTTAGCCATTCTGACAGGAGTAAGATGGTATCTCAGAGTTGTTTTGATTTGCATTTCCCTGATGGCTAAGGATGTTGAGCACTTTCTTAAGTGTCTCTTGGCCATTTTAGCCTCCTCTATTGAGAATTCTCTATTTAGCTCTGTACCCCACCTTTTAATTGGATCCTTTGGTGTTTTGGAGACTTGTTTCTTGAGTTCTTTGCAAATTTTGGAGATTAGCCCTCTGTCAGATGTGGGGTTAGTGAATATCTTTTCCCATTCTGTGGCCTGCCTTTTTGTCTTTTTGACTGTGTCCTTTGCCTTACAGAAGCTTTTTAGTTTCAGAAGGTCCCATTTGTTAATTGTCGATCTCAGTGCCTGTGCCACTGGTGTTATGTTTAGGAAGTGGTCTCCTGTACCAACTCGTTGAAGAGTATCTCCCACTTTCTCTTCTAAAAGTTTCAGTGTGGCTGGATTTATGTTGAGATCTTAAGTTTTGTACAAGGCAATAAACATGGGTCTATCTGCAGTCTTCTGCATACCAGTACCCAGTTATGCCAGCACCATTTGTTGAAGATGCTTTCTTTTTTCCATTGTACAGTTTTAGCTTCTTTGTCAAAAATCAAGTGTTCATAGGTGTGTGGGTTAAAATTAGGGCTTTCGATTCGATTCCATTGGTCTACCTGCCTATTTTTGTGCCAATACCAAGCTGTTTTCAGGACTATAGCTCTAAAATAGAGCTTGAAGTCAGGAATGGTGATGCCTCCTGAAGTTCCTTTATTGTATAGGGTTGTTTTGGCTATCCTGGGCCTTTTGTTTTTCCATATAAAGTTGATTAATGTTCAACAAAGGCAGACCTATCCGAATTACACCTGACTTCTCAATGGAAATGATGAAAGCCAGAAGATCCTGGACAGATGTCCTACAAACGCTAAGGGAACAAGGATGCCAGCCCAGACTACTATATCCAGCAAAGCTCTCAATTACCATAGATGGAGAAAACAAATTATTCCATGACAAAGCCAGATTTAAACAATACGTATCCATGAATCCAGCTCTACAGAAAATGATAGAAGGAAAACCTAGAGCCAAGGAAGATAACTACATTCACAAAGACACAGGAAATATATAATCACACTTTACAAAACACCAAAAGAAAAAGGGAGGAGAAAGTACACAAAATAACTTCACTAACAATAAATCAAGCACAAACAAGGATCACCAATCAATGGTCATTAATATCCCTCAATGTCAACGGCCTCAACTTGCCTATAAAAAGACACAGACTAGCAGAATGGATATGAAGACAGAACCCTTCCTTCTGCTGCATACAAGAAACACATCTCAACATCAAAGACAGACGTTATCTCAGAGTAAAGGGTTGGGAAAAGATCTTCCAATCAAACGGTCCCAAGAAACAAGCGGGTGTAGCAATCCTAATATCTAACAAATTAGACTTCAAATTAAAATAAATTAAAAGAGATGAAGAAGGACACTTTATATTCATCAAAGGAAAAATACATCAAGACGAAGTCTCAATTTTAAACATCTACGCCCCAAATACAAAGGCACCTACATTCGTGAAAGAAACATTACTAAAGCTCAAAATGCACATAAAATCTCACACACTAATAGTAGGAGACTTCAACACTCCTCTCTCACCGCTAGACAGGACCTCCAGACAGAAACTTAACAAAGAAACAAAAGAACTAATACAAGTTATGACCAAACTGGGTTTAACAGACATCTATAGAACATTCCACCCAAATACAAAAGGATATACCTTCTTCTCGGCACTACATGGAACCTTCTCTAAAATTGACCACATAATAGGAAACATAGCAAATCTCCACAGATACAAAAAAAATGGAATAACCCCCTGCATCTTATCAGACCACCATGCATTAACATTAGAATTCAACAATAACACAAATCGCAGAAACCCTACAAACTCATGGAGATTGAACAATGCACAATTGCACCATCCCTGGGTAAAGGAACAAATAAAAAAAGAAATTAAAGACTTCCTCGATTTCAATGAGAATGAAGACACAACATACACAAACTTATGGGACACTTTGAAAGCAGTGCTGAGAGGAAAGTTTATAGCACTAAGTGCCCACATGAAAAAACTGGAGAACAGTCATACTAGAGAATTAATAGCACAGCTGAATGTTCTAGAACAAAAAGAAGCAAACTCCCCCAGGAGGAGCAGACGCCAGGAAATAATCAAATTGAGGGCTGAAATCAATCAAGTAGAAACCAGGAAAACACTGAGAAGAATCAATGAAACAAAGAGTTGGTTCTTTGAGAAAATCCACAAAATAGATAAACCTCTGTCCAAACTAACCAAAAGACAGAGAGAGAGCATGCTAATTAACAAAATCAGGGATGAAAAAGGGGACATAACAACGGACTCTGAGGAAATCCAGAGAATCATCAGGGCATACTTTGAAAATCTGTACTCCACAAAATTTGAAAATTTAAAGGAAATGGACAATTTCCTGGATAGATATCACTTGCTAAAACTAAATCAAGAACAGATAAACAATCTAAACAGACCTATAACCCCTAATGAAATAGAAGCAGTCATCAAAAGTCTAGCTTCTCTTTCTTGAAGGTTATTTCTGACCATGACAGCGGAGCCTGCAGTGCCTGACAGCATCAACAGTGGAATGACAATGGAGACAGCTCTCATCACATGGGGATCCTAAGGTCCTAGATTTAGTTGGGCCCTTCACCATTACAAATGAATACTCATGGTACAACATACATGAGGCAGCAAAGGTGTGGGCTTTCCTCCAGTGCAAACAATTCAGAAGATGCATTCTTGGTTAGGGCATTAATAAAAGCAAACTAGGAAGTTTCTAAGTCTGATATACATGTGACAGCCTGCATAAGGGGAAATATCTAGGGGATAATTTGGGGACATTAAACAGGTTCTCTTCTCCCAGAGGTCCCCCAGGGAGACTTAGGTTAGTTTTGTTTACAGTTGTTAGGGTTGGAAGTAGATATTATTGTTTGATAAGTACCATTGCCAACATACTTTGGGGTCCAGGCACAGCCAACAGTCCTTATTTGTGTCCAGTTGAGACTGGTTAAGAATCCCTTTTTAGCATGCCAATCATTGAGGTCAAGGCTTCTGAACCTATATCTTTGTGCTTACCAAAGGATTTTCTAGGATTATAGGAGTTTCATGACTTGCCATCATAGAGGGCTCATATTCCAGTGGTGACAACATGGGTTGGTTTGGGCCAATGGGCTGGATGACACTAGGCAAAGATTCCTTTTGGGCGGTAAATTTACAGACTGGTTCTGATCATTTAGGTGTAACTTGACTGCTCAGATTCTGCCAGGTTCCTGGTAATGAACTTTGGCTTCCTGTTTGGCCCTAACCTTTATGGATATGAAATTGTAATGCCTATAATAGGAAGGTAATGATGGTTTCCTTTCTAAGACTATAAAAGAGATGGTGTTCCCAAGAGGACGGTTAACACAGTGCCATTGAGTGTTACAGACTGCCAATAAAGACAATGATACTCACCTGCCTTCTGGCAGCTAGAGGGTGAGGGAGTGGAGACTCAGACAGAGGACACAATACTGAATAAACAAGAGGCATTCTCTTCACCAGTGGACTCCAGAGGTATGCTCTTCAATAGGAGCAAATGAACAATCCCTCAGTAGCTTTCAGATGCGAAATTTTACATAAACCTACATGGAAAGTGGGTTGGATCTCAGTGATTTGTTGCCTATGAGCACCCAGTTTCATTGTTTCATTATTTTCATTACCAAGGTCCTAGCTTATGATTGTTTTAGACCTTGTTGCAAAGTATTTGACCACAGTGTGAACCCTCATATCGTGTTATTTATTGAAAAACCCACTTTTACTTGTGGTGTGGCTCATCCCTACCACACACATTTAATTCAAGAGATTTCTATTTGATATTTAAACAGGGTTAAATAAAATCTAACTCAGGTCAAGAGGCAAAGCAAACAACCAGTTGACAGGAAGTGAACATAGGAAAATTCCACAAAGAGTAACAGGGAGTCAGGAAGATGGACAGAGATACAAGCTGATCTTCAGGCTTCTGTTGGTCAGTACAGGGGTGGATGGCAGCTCATGGGCCACTCATTGACTCCATCCACATCCACTGATACATCATAAAATCACATCTTGCTGTGCCCTCCATTTGATTGGTGGAGCCTGATGACACTTACTTGACTGCTATCATGAATAGGCTCTGTTGAGTGATCTGGCAGCAGGCTGAACTGATAGCAGAAGTTTTAGAGAATCGGGTACAAGCCGTGCCAGGAGAAAATACCTGATGATGACGTGTTTGGTTGTTATATATGCATCCCTTGGGGTTTGCTTTGTGAGGTCCAAGGAACCTGGGCATAAGTTAGTAACTGTGTTGCCTATTTGCAAAGCACAGTACATGTTGTCCTCTAGGCTCTCTCAGCAAGGACCTGTTTCAGAGTCCATGCTGGCATCCTAGCTCCTCTTCCCTTCCCTAGCTTCTCATTCCTATATAACCCCCTCATGTCAGCCTTGTGCCCTCTTGGCCTTTGAATGTATCTTTACTCTCTGTTCCCTTCCTCTTTTATTTATCCCTGCCATCCTCTCACGACCTGATCCAGTCTACTGGTGATCATGTTCAGTCAATTACTTTCTCTCCTTGTTCTGAACTTTTCCAGATTCCTCTGTTGGTACACACCCACATATCTCCAATAAAAACTTCCTTCATCCACACCTTGGAATAGTCATGTTGTTATTTTATTCATTCCACAGGAGTGCCAATACATGTCTTCCAAATGCCTTTCCATCTGTCACCATTCATCCTGACTTGATTGCCACACTACAGTGGGCATGCATGTTTCCCTAGGACATCACAGGCATGTTCTCCCTTCGCATTTGTTGGCTCAGCTTCCTAGAAGTCTCATATCTCAGTCATGGTCTCCAGAGACTTTCCAGACTTGACTCCAGCATCATCTCACAGCAAGGCCTGCCTTGATTACTGTGATTGATGTGGTGGTGTCTCCAAAGGTAAAATCTTAATTTCCGTTTACTTTTTTTCTTGCTGGCATTCAACAGCACACAGTCTTTGAGGCAGGTGTTCACATCTCACTGATTGCCCAGCAACACAGACATGGAAACTAAACAGTCAAAGAACAGGATAGTTCCATTTGTTTATAGTTGCATCCTCATCATCCAGAGCTGTGACTGACACTTAGTAGATGCTTATTTCTGAATTAATGAATGAGCTCTGTATACATTTTTCCATCCTAATATCACAGCAATATTTTTTTCTTTGGCCACAAAGCAGGTCACTGCCCATGTTCCTCTTTCTGTTTTTCTTTGTTCATTGAAAGTTATTTACCACAGTTTGAGTTGTTTAGATAATGGGTCCAGGTGTTTTCATTTTTTTCACTACTGGATCAGCATTTCCTCTTCACAATGTTTGCTCTCCCTTTATTCTCATACTTTTGTCCTTTAGGTTTCTGTTCAAGCTGATGTTGTATAGGAAAATAAGTACAATGAGCACAAACAAATTTTCTAAGCTCTTGATTTGGGACCAGGGAATATTGTGTTGAGGAAATCTCATTGTTTTTCTCAACCTTCACTTTCTTACACGCATTTCAATAAGCCCCTTGCCATGTTTCTACTAGGCAGGGACATAAAGAAAAACAAAGCACATTTCTTCCTATCATGCTGGCTCACTGGTATCCTCCCAGCAATGTCAAAGTCTTGTGTTCTCTTACCTTGATGTGAAAATAATAAAGCTTATTTACTGATGCTAAAGGGTTCTCCTGGTTTAATTTTACAATTAGACACTTCCTAACCATAAGGCCTTTCATATTTATGATTGCATAGTTTTCAAAATATAGGAAAAATGTTAAAGTGAAAACATTGCAATAATATCAGTAAATGCAGTTAGGTCACCGAATGCCATATTATCAGGTGACAATTTTAGATATATTTTCTACCTCATTTTCTGCTACCTCTTTCTACAACCTCTTGTCATGTTATCCTTTTGAGCATTACTCAGGTCTTATAGATATCTTTTACTCTGATTATTAAACCGTCTGCTAGAGGCCAGGACTGGTTTACCCAATGCTAATTATTAGGGGTGCAACTGCAGTAGAGCTGAGTCAAAAGTGTTTGTTATAAAGGCAAAACCCACAAACTTAGCAATTTCTGTTGTCGTGGCAAGAATGGCAGGATATTAACTTTTAATAAATATATGCCACAGTTATGTCACCATGATATTTCTGATTGATGGAGAGAAGCCTTGTGATTACAGAAGTAGAACAACACAGGCTAGGAAAAGTTCCTGTGAAATACTGACCTCAGTTTGACCCTGAAGTTAAGTCAGGACGTAGCAAGTGCCTTTCTTGTTCAGTATGATACGATAAAACCTGAGACTGTTGGGGTGAAGAATCCTCACGCACAGGGCAAGGACCACAGCAGCAAGGCCGAGGCTGGTGCAGGAGCTGAAAGTGCTTCGGTCCATCTACCACCCACACGGATAGCATTTCTGTGTGCCGGTCCATCTGCCACCCACACGGATAGCATTTCTGTGTGCCAGTGCTTGCTTGCACAAGCTGAGCTGCAAGCTCCTACTGGCCTGAGCCAGAGAGACTGGGACAAAGCAGCTCAAGGACCATAGCACCCCTCACAGGATTCGATGTCTACAAACTCCTTCCGTATTCACTGAAACATCACAGAATCGTACCCCTCTGTGACCTCCATCTTGTCAGTGGAATCTGATGGCCAAACCTTGGCTGCTGTCTTGGAGAGGCTCTGTTGGGTTATCATCAGGCAGCAGGATGGCTGGGCTCATGACAGAAGTTTTACAGAATCAGATGCAGGCTGGTCCAGGAGAAATGCCTGATGATGCATTATTTTGGGTGTTGGAAATCAACCTCTCTGCATCCCTCATAGTACACGGTGGTTTGCAAAAGGTCCTCACTGAGAGTCAGCTTGTCAACTTGTTTTTCTGGCATATCTACAGCTGCTTAGGCCCACAAACAGGCAAGCCAGAGCCCAGTGTGTGGGCAAAGCCCTCCCTGGTAATCTGCTCCATAAGATGGGCTGTTCTCCTCTATCTTCCTCTCGGTCTTATTTTTGAGCAAGAAAAAAAAATGAGTTCCATGTGTTTCTACAGAGACTCCAGGGAATGGAGGCAGAGAGGGATGACTACCCCCACAAATGGTCTTCTCCTGTTTCTTTATTATATTCTGTCACACTGTGACATGGGTGTTATATCCTTCTGAGATACATATATCTCAGACATAAGTCTGAGACCAGCCACAGCTTCTCAAAACTAAAAGCACTTTTCCTTGTTGAATGACACAATATTTTGTGGTTCCTGTCATTTTGTTTACAGTACACTTCATTCCATGTCTCAGCCCCCTCTCCTGTCTTGTGATAGGAGCAGCTTCATGTGCTCTGAGAGTAGGTGTTCTGCTAGAGAGGAAGGAGTTAACAGGGCACCTGATGAACAGATTACCAGTGGGCTTTTTTGGACCTGCCCAAGAATGAAAACAGTAATTCTGTCTAGTTTCATTATCCCTCTTACTGTAGCTGAGACTCACCTCGAAGATGAACACAGAAGAGGCTCCAAAAGCTTCCATGCGAGCGCTAAAGACAGAGGCCCCCAGCACAGACCTCCTTCAAGAGGGGGAAATGGGTAGGTATTTCATGCAATATGAAATAAACAGAGAGGAGCATCACCAGGACTCACAGAGAAGCAAACCTCCAGCCTGTTAGTCTGTCATGGTGGGTCTCAGTCGAATTTAAGATGCCTGGAGGCATCTTTTGTTTTAGTTACCCTATTAGATTACATAATACTCAAGTATTTCTAGGCAAGAGACATGAACAATTAATTAACTATAAGAGCCTAAAGCATACCTTTTGTTTGTTTGGTTTTATAAATTTTGGTTCTGTCTTTGGTTTGTTTATGGTATGTATGTATGTATATATATATATATATATATATATGTGTGTGTGTGTGTGTGTGTCTGTGTGTGTGTGTGTGTGTGTGTGTGTGTGTGTGTGTGTGTGCTAGCTCATTTTCTAGTAATCTGCACTCTGGTGAGTTGCAGGAATTGCTCTAGAAATGCTCCTTTTGTCTCAGAGTGAAGGAAACTCTAACAGCACAGCTTTCAGTGTGCACACCTAATGAAATTTCTTTGGGGCTGGAACCTCTTATTAATAAAGAAGTTTTAAAATCAAAAGGAAACTCAAGAACAATATTATTAGAATTTGAGAGAAAGCTACAAGAAAGGCCAACTTAAAACCTGGGCAACAACAGTGGGATTACTGTGGTGAAGAGTTGCATGGAAAAGAGGAAGAGAAATGGGGAGCAACAAGGTGCCCCATTTAGCAAGCAGCTGCATGGAAGAGGTAGGAAGATTCAGAGAAAGAGTGAAAAAGTACAGCTTTAGCCAGAATTCTAAAGAGATAATTAGAACAAGGAGAAGCTCAGATCTTCTGATTTATGACTCAGAAAAGCCAGTGAGCTGCACAGACTGCTTGGCTGCAGCTCCACAGGTGACCACATAGAGAGGAGTTCAGGAAGGAAAATCACATTATCTCAGTAAAGAAATACTTTCTCCTGCCACCTCTTTAGCATGTCTTCAGGTGATCAGCCTTCCTGAGGGGTGGTCTCTTGGCCAAGTGAGTGACAGGCCCAGCAGGACCCTTATGACAGGACACAGTGGTGTGTTGTGTCTGCTCAGGACAAGAAACAGATTCCGTTCTTTCCAGGAGGAAATTGGACTCAACAGAGCACTGATGTTTTCGATGGTCTCAAAGGCTACTGTAGCATACCTTGATGAAGAGGCCCAAAAGTCCTTTAAGTTATGAGCTAAAACTAAGGCATCAATACAATGTTTTTCTGCCAGGAAGATCTAGGGATCCAGTGCTAAAGCTGTCCAGCAGACATGCTTAGTGTCGGTTACACCCTCACACACAGCATCTGAGAAGGAAGCTCACACTCAAGATACAAAATCGGAGATCTTTCTGGAATTTCTGAACTCTGGCATGGACAGAACCAAAGATGTTTCAGGTTTCTGCCCAAGTATAATTAGAACTGCTCACTCTTGGGCTCTCTGTTTCTACATCTGCTCCGCCCATTTCTGTTTCATGTCCTTCTCAGCTTAAGCATCCAGTCCTCTCTCAGCTTTTCCTTAGTGTAAACTGAGACTCCTTGGTATCTTGGAGTTTTGTGAAAATGAGCAAAATAAGGTGGTTAAAGTCAGCTGGTGCTTTTTGAAATGTAATTTATATCCAGTAAAATTATCTGTTCTACATTTCCATGGTTTTTGAGAGTGGATGTAATCATGAAGTCTCCATTACAATCAATATATAGACACAGACCCCAGCCACCCAAGAAACCCACAGTGTAACCCAGGCATACGTGGCTTGCACTATAGAAACCTGTCACACCATGCTACCCTTCTGCCATGCAGGCTTACAAACCCTGGCCCTTTTCAATGGAACGTTCCACCTACTTCCCCTCTCCTCTTCTTCTGCTGTCTCTTTGAGGAGGCAGCTCTATTCTCTCACTCTCTCTCTCTCTCTCTCTCTCTCTCTCTCTCTCTCTCTCTCTCCTCTCTCTGTCACTGTTTGTCTTTCTTCCTCTTTCTCTGGTAAACGTTCCATCAATAAACTCTTCATATAAGTCATGTCAGTAGGTCTCTGTCTCTCACCCACGACCATCCCACACCAGCCTCAGGGCCACTGTGTGAAATGTTGGGGTCTGACCACCTGCTGGACTCCAAACACCCGTGCCTTCTGCAGACACTCCTTTCCTCTATACCCTGCCTATGGCACCCTTGCTCTTTCTGCTCTTACACACTTGCTTTTCAAGAGTACCATGGATCTGGATCTCTGAGTAGTAAATGTATTTGAGATTCATCCATAGTATATTCAGCAACTGTGTGGATACAGGGGGAGACATTTCAGAGTGCACTTCTCAGATGCTAACAGAGAAACAGTTTTAGAAACAGGACAGGGGACACTAACAGGAAACTGGTGGAGAAGAGAGTGAGCAGAAAGAGAGCAGAAGGTGGGTGACAATTGGAATTTCCCAGAAGAAAATCATTGCTGTGTGGTCAGAATCTGTGGTAGATTTTGATGCTGTGTGGTTTTGGTGGTTTTGGTGGTGGTGCCTGGTGTCTCACGTGCCATGGTCCACATTTAGAAATGAGAGGACAACTATGTGTGGCTCGTTCTCTGCTTCCACTTTTGTGTAGGTTGCAGGGATTGAACTCAGGTCACCAGGATTAAGCAGCAAGCACATTTACCAAACAACCCATCTTGCTGCCCCAAGTACAACTGGGACAGCAGAACAATGCCTTAAAGGTACCTTGGGATGACCAACAAGTCCCAGTTTAGGGACCTCTGGAGGTGGCAGGCTGAGGGTCAAGGAATGGACAGGTGCAAGCATGAATTACAGTTTTTTTCCATCATTTTCTCCCTGGTAATGCACGATTTCGGGCTACTTTTTCACACGCTTGGAGATACATGAGTTGTTGCAAAATACAGGGTTGATTTATAAAACTGCTATAATATAGTCAGGTTTGAATGTAAACGCAAGCATTTCACTTTTGTGGATATGTGCAAAGGAGGACCAGGACTTATGGTAAATATAAACTCATTGTAACAAAATGCTGAACTGTTTTTCTCTATTTCCTCCTATGCTGGTAATATTATTATTGAGCACACTGCATGTATTTACTTTGAATTTGTCATTGGGTTCAATCTCTGGATTGTTTTAATAACATGAATATGTGTTTATATTGAGTGTACATTTATTGATGGGTGTACATGTACTGTAGACTGGCCATAGAGGACAGTTCTTTGCTAGAGAAAGATGATATTTTTTCTGCATATGATGTTGAGACAGTTGGTTCCCATGGTGAAGGCTCACACTTTAGCCTGTGCACAACTGCATCCAAATGGACCATAGGCATAAACATGAATCCTATAAATTTAAATCTGCTTGAAGAGCAAATATATTTCTGAATGACAGCTTATCTCAGGCAAAGATTTCCTGGTTACAATACCGAAGCTTTCCTGGATCACAAGAAAAGTACATTAGTTTTAGTGAAATGAATGGTCTCTGATCTGGTCCCTGAAAAGTAATCAAAAAATAAACAATGGACTGTCAGGCTCTCTCTCTCTCTCTCTCTCTCTCTCTCTCTCTCTCTCTCTCTCTCTCTCTCTCTCTCTCACTCTCTCTCATACGCATGCTGTCTCTCACACTCTTTTCTTGCTATCTATCTGTCTCTCTCACACACAGAAATTGTACCTGCAATGTATCGAGGTCTTTAGAAACCCAATGGTAGGGACTACAAAAATGTCTCAGAAGTTAAGAGAACTTGTTCCTCATCCACCAACTGACTGTGAACATGTTTCATTATGTGTACAATTGTATGTTTGGCAGTGCTGTATGTACTACTATCTTTATATATGAGTTTCCATTGGACAATTACTGGAGATGAAAAAGCAAATTGTACCATGAATATTGTGAACTGTGCTGATATATCACTTATGATTTATTAAAGCTTGCCTGAGGATTCAGAAAGCAAAGTCAGCCACAAGCCATAGAAGCCAGGCACACACCTTTAAGCACAGGACTCAGGATCAAGAAGTAGATGAATCTGTAGCTCAAGGCCACACTGAGCTACAGAAAATTGATCCATTCCTAATGAGAAACAGTTCACACAAAGATGATCTCAACCCTTGGGATCACGAGCCTTTAATCCCAGCATTATGTGATTACATAAGACAGGAACAGGGTCTGAGAGCTGTCATTAATTCTCCAGTCACATTGCAGATAGGAAGGCATTCAGTCTGAGAATTCTCTGGCCATGTTGAGGAGAGCATAACAGTCTGGTATTACAGGCTTAGCTTTAGTGGAGCCAGCATCACCTTTCAGTCTGAGGCAGAGGTAAGATCTAGGGGTCACCTGCTTTGTTTTTCTGATCTTCTGCTTGAAGTTTGAACACCACTATCAGTCTCTGGGTCTTTTATTTATCATGTTACAGTGAACTCACTCCTTATTCTTGGGGCTTTTCTAGTAGACCCTTAGAACTTTACGCATAGATATATCCGAGTTGACCGATAGCAACACTTTTATCTCTCTTTATGAAGAATGACTGTTATTTATTTTCCTTGCCCTATTGTCCTGGCTAGTACCTGCAGAGTCACACTAGACTGGTGAGCAGACATCCTGGCCTTGATCAGAATCACTCAGGGAGAGCATTCATGCTGGCTGCTGTTGGAGTTTTATTTAGGTTTATCATAGATGCCTCCTGTCAGGTTGAGGAAGTACTTACAATTCCTTATGTGTTAAGAGTTGTTACTGTGTATTTAAGTTGAATTTTGCATGCCTTTTTGCTGAAATTATTGAAATGTTCCTTTTTATTTTCTTCTTCTGTTAATATGTTGAATTACATTTAGTTAGCTCATTATAGTTAGATGGAAGATAGGTAGATAGATGATGATGACAGCTATATAATAGATAGATAGATAGACAGATAAGACAGACAGACGGACAGACAGATCATGGTGTAATACTGCTCAAGGCAACGTCAAACTCAACAGTTAGTTAAGATTGTCCTTGAACTCCTGACTCTCATCTCCTCCTGAATGGCATAATGACGGTCCTGTGACACAACAAGCACATGGAGTTTTTCTTTTCATTTCTATTATGGTCCCCTCAGGCCTAGTCTATTCTTATGGAAATAAACCTACTGATAATTTTATTGTTATTGATATTTTTTAAGTGTGATGTTCACTCATTCTTGTTGTGGATTATTGTTTTAACTAAGCAAAGCTATGTTACATTTGTTTATGCTGCCTTTGTTAATAATGTAAAGATGTGTTACATTTGTTATTGTTGCATTTGCGTAATTGCGAAAATATGTGTTGTTGTTTTACCTTGCCTGACTAAGGCACCTTACTGGTCTAATAAATACCTGATCAGTCAGTAGCCATGTGGGAAAGGGAGCGCTGGGGCTGGTGGGCAGAGAGAATAAATAGGAGGAGAAATCTAGACTCCAGAGGAAGAAGAAAGTAGAAAGAAGAGAGTGAGGAGAAAGAGGGACATTCCCAGGGCAAGAAGCCAGGCAACCACTAGCCAGACATGGAGATGGGAGAAAAGTAAGAAATACAGAAAGAATGAAAGGTGAAAAGCCCTGAAGCAAAAATGTAGATAAAGAGAAAAGGGTAATTTAGGTTAAAATAGCTGGCTAGAAACAAGCCTAAACAAGGCCAAGCATTCATAACTAAAAATAAGTCTTGGTGACATGGTTTGGGAGCTTGGAGTTGGCCCAAAGGAAAAAACCTGGAGCACTTTGTTTCTTGCTTTCACTGACTCTATTCCAGGAAGACTCCATTACAGAAATTGTTTCCCATTCCTGTAAGCCTCTGTGAACCAAGAACATCATTATGGACCAAGGTGTTCTATGAAGGGGTTTGAACTAGGGAAGTACAAGACAAATATTCAGATAATCCTGGGATAAATATTTCTTTTTCCCTAAAAGGTTCTTGATTTGTGGTTCTGATATTTATATTTTCAGGCGAAAGGCTCCAAAAAAGATATTGCAAAATATCCTCCCCTGAAGGTACCTGTAAGCTTCGCTGCTACTATATAGTTATCATGGTTGTTTCTATAACTGCTGGGCTTTCTGTTGGTTTCTTAGGTAAGTGACTCATTCTCCAAATCACACAGTATTCTGTCTACATTACATTTTCAGTTATACTTCCTGACCACTGCGAGCCAGGCGCAATGAGAAGGGTTCTATAGAGAACACACTGGAAATTCCTGTTCTCTGGGAACTGAGGTTCTAGCAGAGAGATGCAGAGAAAGAACAGCACAGCCTGCAGTGTACACAGGAGGCCAGACTCAGCATCACTGGAAAGATGACATTCAGAGATGCAGAAGACATATGTCCACCAGTGGGAACTATTCTAAGACAAAGAGGAAAAAACCCGAAGGAGGAGCCTCAAGGAGGCTGCTGCAGCTAAAGAGACGAAAGAGCAGTGAAGAATAATAGGGTTGGGGAAATCACAGATGCCCCACCCGCTATCCATGTCCCATCTTCAAACATGGTCTAAAATTATTAAATAGAAAGTTCTAGAAGTATGCCACTTCTAAGCTTATGTTGTAGACTGTTCTGAATAAGGGGATAATATACAGCTTTTCTACCTGAAGCTGGAGTAAATCTACCATGATATTGTCTTATAAAATCAACTTTTACCTCATCAATGACTAATACACAAGTATAAACAGGACAAACATTTGCCGACAAGGCTAAGTCAGTGTAACCTAAGCTTTACATAGCTCTGAAAAGAGACAGACAAAAAGAAGAGGCAGTTACCCTCACTATCCATTCCATTTTCCCCTTTCACTGAAGCCTCATTGTACCAGATAGGAGAACTGGGAAAAGCTTTAAGTTGGCCTCCACTAAAAAAGTGGGATGGGAGTGATTTCTGGTATTTAATATTTCTCATCAAATCACCTGTTTCTTGCCATTCACTAGAGCTTTAAACGAATAACATAGCATTCTAACCTGTTAAAGGAACTTTCATGCAGTTAGAATAGCTATACTGAAGTCATGAAGATTCTAAGATGGATTTAGACTTACACTGTCATTACATTTTCATGCATCACCAGCCATAAAATTAAAAAACAGGGTTAAAATTAGAAAAACAAACCGGTTTATAAGCTTTTGCATGATTTCTGGCTCTTTGCCTGTATCCTGTCCTTTCATGTCTGCTTATCTCAGTCTTCCTTGTTCTCCTGTGTGGGTGTTAGACCACGCCCACACTCACAGCTGTGCGCACTGTACACCATAGCATGGTGTGTGGGGGGGTTGTACGTGGGTTTCTTTCTTCTGAGTTGGTGAATTCACTTAATGTTATTCTTTCCTGCAATTTCACTTTTCCTTATGACTTAATAATATTCTGTTTTGCACATGTTCCATATTTTCATTATTCACTCACCAGTTTATGGATATTTAGTCAGGTTGAGTACTTTACTATTGCAAATTGTACAGCAATAAACGTGAATGTGCCAGTTTCTCTGTGATCAGATGTGGAAAAATCTCCATATATACCCAGGAATAATATAGCTGAGTCACATGGTAAGTATTTTTTAACTTTACTGAGGAACCTCATATTGGCTGTATCAGTTTGTACACATACCAGCAGTGAATAACTATAACCATTTCTGCACATGGTTCTAATATCCCTAATCAGATTTCTTGATGAAAGTAATTCTGACCGTCACTAGCAAGAGCCAGTATATGGTTATGTATATTTAATGTGTGTGTGATAGAATTACAGGAAGGCCTCAACCAAAGTTTTAGTGTCAAAAACACATTTTGACCATATCATGGTTTAAAGGCTGGCATTTCTCTGTAGTAAAATCCAGACAAGTGAGGAGTTTTCTTACCTTTATCTAGAAGGAGGATGTGAAAGAGGATTATGGGAAAGGAAGCTGAAGAATTCCAGCAATCAGCAAGAGAGGGGTGGGTGGTCATTACTATACTTTGGGTATAGGGTAGGAATGGTTTCCTTACAGGGTATGGTGTCTTTAATACCAGCACTCAGGAGGCACAGCCAAGAGGGTTACTTCAAGCTCCAGATAAATACAGTCCACATTGTGAGATTTAGAGCATGCTGGAGGACATTGCAAGATTCATTCTCAAAACATAAAATACAAAGAAGGCAAGAAAAAGCATTTCTTTAGAAACCCACTGGAAAGTTCTGAATTGGGGTTCATCATGCTAGGAGGGGTCTCCTAGTGAACAGTTATAAAAGCACAGTCCAAGCACATACCTCACCTCTGAGATTTGGGTAAGTAGTCAAAGTGACCAGACATGGAAATGTTTCTTTGTTATATTTCATGGCATTTCTTACGTTTTAGTGAGACCAGTCACTGAGAGATGTGAACCTTGCTATGCCACCTGCCCAAGAGACTGGATTGGATTTAGAAGTAAATGTTTTTATTTTTCTGAAGACATGATAAACTGGACTTTCAGTCAGACCTCCTGCATGGCACTAGAAGCCCAACTAGTTCTTTTTGACAGCTTGGAAGAGCTGGTAAGTAAGTATCAGGACTTGGTTTGTTGTTTGTCCTATTGAATATGTACTGCTTTGAGATAGAGATTTTAAAATGGAAGCATAATGAAAAATTCCAACCACATCAGGGTACTTGGAAACATATTAGTGTGTGTCATTTGCTGATGTTTTTGCTTCTGGCTGGAGCTCTGACACCTTCCAGAGACATGCTCTTATGTAGTGTTCATAGTCAGCCTTCAAGGCCAGACAATCCACTGAGATACATGCTGATCACAGGCAAGGCTTTATTCAAGCCGGCAGGTATTACACACTGAATATGGCAACTGTCAATAACTACAAGACCAAGCCTAACAAGGGACCTTCCCAGCCACAGAGGGATGGGTGCTCATCAAGGTACATTGGATTATGGATGCAAAATGCACCCACTGGAAAGTGAGGATTATTGTGACTCCAATGTCAATGGCCCTCAGTACACCCTGCTGCCATCCTGAGAGGAGGCTGTTGGTTGGAGACACTAAATGGCCATCTAAAGCTGAGAGACACATGTATTTGCTTCTGTGTTTTTTGACAGAATTTCCTGAAGAGATGCAAGGGGGCTTCTGACCACTGGATCGGCCTACACAGAGAGTCACCAGAACATCCTTGGATGTGGACAGACAACACAGGATATAACAACTTGTATGTTTTCAGAACACTTTCCTTTTACTATGATCATTTGTTGGCAAGTGTGTGAATTGTGTCTATAAGAATGGCTGCGTCATAAGAAGTCAACTGTACTGGAAAGGAGGAAATGTGAATCCTATGGCTGGAGGTGTGGTTCAAAGTCAGGGTGTGTGCCTACATGCAAAGCCAATTCCCAGCAAAATTCACCTCTCCCCAAATTTAAATCCTTTGGATGTTCTCCCATTTATTAGCCATCATTTTCAAAGCATTTATTTAATTTGATTTCACTTGAGCAAAGTGATGTCATTTGTGATTTCTGTTATCTGTTCTATCAACAATTTAAAACTTTACATTGGTGATAAATGCCCTTATGGACTGTAGATAGAATTGCAGATGGCTAGTGAGGTCTCTGAAGCCCCAGTAAGCCACAGCAGTCAGGCAAGTCTGAGAGCTATTAGTCCATTCTTGGCACAGCTGCACTTGTTTACAGTAGCAGAGTCTTCAGGAGCATTAGTTATATCCTCTAAGGTCTATTCAAAGAGAAGCCAAGACTCTTAGATGTGAGCATAGCAGTGTCATATAGAGCCATTACAATGGGATGGTAAATCACAGACTGAGTCATCACCATCATTAAAGCCCTTTCAACAATTTACAAAATACTTCAATAGAGAGTTGAAAATCCCATGGGAGCATTTCATTTGAACATGGCAACAAGCACTAGTCAAATGTTTTGTACACATATTACAGAGTGCAACAAGAATAAATGATAAAGGTGTGGTTTTCAAATTGAGCTCTGATAATGTAAAAGATGCTAGGTGCTAAACTAGTGTATGTGATTCCTGATGGCCTTTGTGTTTCTGTGATTCATTTGACAAACAAACATTGGAGATGGGCAATATTTCACTGCAGATCATGCAGAGCATTGCAGCTGGCTTGAATTTCAGGGTGTTAGCATCTAGGCTTTGACCTGCCATTGTGATCCTACCTTGTGTTATTGATACATTTTGTTTGAAGTGTTTGAATCTTATCTGAGTTTTTCTTGAAGAATTCAACCCTTTTGCAAAACTTTATTATGAGAGTACTTAGAAAACCAGTAAGAATTGTGACTGAGAATTGCTTTAGCAATTCCTTCAGGTGCTCCAGATAAGAGGTTTAGTATTTGTTAATTGACTTGCTAAGATGTAAAGGATATAACAATAGAAAAGGCCTTTTGAGAAGAATGGGCAGTCTGTTCATAAGAGGCTGATTCACCCTGCTGCTTTGCTAATCTAAAATTCATCCTTAGAGTGACCCTATTTTTTTCCATGGGTCTGCACAAAACACAACACTGACAATGGAATGCAATGCAGATCTCTGTAGAAATCTTTTGTTTGTTTTGTTTTAGGGTCCCCACCCAAGGAGCAGGAGAATGTGCCTACCTGAGTGACAGAGGGATCAGCAGTGGCAGGGACTATACTCACAGGAAGTGGATTTGCAGCAAGTTCAGCAACTACACTTTACAGTGCCCAGAGACCAGTACTGTCAAATCTAGGGTAAAGAATGTTTCAAAACATCTCTGAGAAACCTGTAACATGTTACATACAGTTGCTGCTTCATTCTTGATCTTCAAAAATCATTATCAAATTCAATTCACAATGTGTGCTAACATCAAGGTTAAAACTTACCTTTGAGGACTATTCATGTGTGTGCTTGGGAGACAATGAATGGTTCTAAACTAAGTAAGTATTCTGGTATGAGTTTGTACTCATGTCTTGAAACCTAAACTACAATCACATCAGTACTAGTGACCTCCACTTTTATGACCAACGATGAAATTTTTCATTAGTTCTTACTTTGAATGAGTAGGACAACAAAAATGTGGAGTGACTGAAAAATATGGAAATGATTAAAAAATCACAATAAACATGATATTTAGACTGTACCCTCCAAATATTTTTGGAAACAGAATTAACATTCTTTTACAAACTCAATGACCAATATGCAAGAAGATGCAGACAAGTTAAAACCAGTATTTTATGCTCTATAATATAACTCATCAAGAATGTTTGTCAAAATGGTTTTGGAATTTACTTTTCAGTTAACAATTTTTAATTATAGTGGACGAAGTACTTGCTATTAGCAATATCATTTTATTTTATTGAATTTTTAAGATTTCATATACTAGTATGTCATTTAAATTACTTTTTAGATTCATTTACGATCAAGAGACTGTTAATTACTGAAGCTACTTAAGCATTTGATGCCTTATCTTACAAAAGTTTTCATATTTTTGAGTTGGAAGAGTAAAATATTTTAGTTTCTGTTGGATCATTAATTACACTGCATTGATGAATTCCCAAAGGGACAAACTAACAGGGCACATGCATGTCTTTTCTTAGTTCTGTCATCCTACTTTATTGATATATAGATTGAACCAGTTACACTTGCCTGGCAAGCATGTTCTATTAATCTGTAGCACCATATACTTTTGTAAAATTTTATTTTGTAAAAAGTTGTCTATGTAATATACAGATGGCTAGAATTGTGGCTGTACATCACCACATAGGATATGTCATTGCTCCTTATTAAAGTATATGTTCAGGGCCAGCAACATGGCTCAGAAGATAAAGATGCTTGTCACTAAGCTTGACAACTTCAGAAGGAGAAAACCCACCCCAGCAAGTTGCCCTCTAACCTCCACCCTTGAACTATACACATACTGATAAAATTAGTCAATAATATGATAAACTCTATCTGTTTTGAGTCTGCAATTTTATGATCAGATAAATGCAAACATATCTCATTCAGGAAAATACTTTTCTCGGTGTTCTGCTCCTGTTTCATGTAGCCCTTTATGCTTTGCAGTCCATTTTACTTGCAGGAAACTAATAGGAACGTCCTGTGTGTAATTCACTTTTGTATTCTCGGAGGCCAGAACAGTGTGTCAAATACATGAGTGTTCAAATCATCTATGTAAGTAAGGTAGGGTCTCAGGACTGTGACTTTGAGGCTTCTCACTGGGTTGTATTCAATCAAGTTCTTTATGAAGAAATGATTTTTTCTATAAATATTCAGAATAAAAATGGCATTATTATCATTAAACTGTGTGTGGTTGCTGGGAGACAGACTTCCCTGGGGTCATGCAAGACACACATGTAGACATCTAAGAGGGGGAACACATGATAGACCAAAGTACAGAAATCACCAATAGCTAACTTGTTGCACCAATGACTCTTACAGAGGTTACTTAGAGAAATATGAGTGAGGTATTACTAACCAGAGCAGAAATGACTCAAAGACAGATGCATCACATTACCAAAACCCACCCCAGCATGGATGATGCCCACAAAACCTAGAACCCTGGAACACACTGAAAATCCTATAAGCAGTTCACTTGTTTCCTGGGAAGAGACTCCATGCATATCTCAAATTTTAGTAGAAAGTTATTGGGATCTTGCTTACAGTTTCAGAGGATGAGTCCATGATCATCTTGGTAAGGAGTGTACAACAGGCAGGTAGGTATGACATTGGAGCAGTGTCTGAAGAGTTTACAAGATAAGAAAACAATGACAAAGCAAGAGACTTAACTGGGAATGGGGTAGGCTTATTAAACCCCCCAACTCCAGTGACACACCACCTGTAACAAGGACAGAAATCCTCCAATAAATAGTACATCCTCTAACAAGGCAATACCACTTGATTCTTCTGCAACATTTCTGTCAACTGAGGATCAAATATTCAAATGTATGAGCCCATGGTTGCCATTCTCAATCAGACAACCATTGTGTTCTTTGATGGTGGCACAGTTGGCCTATCAGCCTTCCTGATAATTCTGCTTGTGTCTGCTTCCTCCAGAGACCTGGGCTTGTCTGATGGTGACACTCAGCAGCCCTTACTGTAAACACTCTTGGGAAGGGCGTTGTCTAGTGAATCTGGTCAGTTTCAGGGGTTTCCTGGGCTATTTTAAGTTGTCATCCTGCAGGATAAAATGATTCAAGCAAACTGTAATATTGCAATATTAATTGAAAAAAAGAAATTTCATTGACAGTCTCACCTGCCTGGTTAATAGTCATGTAAAAGCTGGACTATAAGTCACATACTTAGATAGTTTAGATTACTCTAGGTGTAAGCCAGTACCTTGATATATTTTTGCAGTCCCAGTCACAGGGTTTCTTCATATGCAAAACGAGTCTAAGTATGGCAGTATTCCTGACAAGCTTATTCATGAATATATTTTGCCAGTCTCAGCAAAGCTGTAATGTATTTGTCTTCCAATATTGCAAGCTGGAGACATTGCCACCACCCACAGTTCACCTCTGTTCAAACCATCTTCTCACAGTCACTAAGACTCACCACTAGTTGTAGGAAATGAAATGTGAGATTAGTGTGTTCCTGGCTAGTGGTAAACAGTATGTATGCTTTTGTCATGCAAGGCAACAGTAGTAAGACATAGCACCTAGGTACCTTCAGGGTCACAGTGTCCTTTCTCATTAGTATGGTTTAGATGGAGTTATTGAATGAATTTCAGGAAATATACAAAGCCTTACTATAGAAGTTTCATAGGCTGTGTATAGTGCTGCACACTTTTAATCTCAGCTCCAGAGGAGCAGAAGCAGGAATATGTCTGTGAGTTAGGGGTTGGCCTGGACTGCATAACAAGTTCCAGGCCAGCTAATGCTACAAAAAGAGCCTCTGTCTCCAAAAGAGAAACCGTATCAACAAAAAAAACCCCAGATATATATTAGTACAAAATTTCACAGAAGGACTGGAAAGAGAGCTCAGTAGATAAGAACATTAGCTGCTTTTGCAGAGGACCCACATGTGGTTCTCAACATATGGTGTACCCAACAATTCTTAAGTCAGATTTACTATTTAATTTAACTCATATGCAAGATTATTGGATTAGAACAAGGATATCTTTGATAACATTGCTGGCTGGTCTATTTACATGTGTGTATGGTTTGCAGGAGTATGAGATCACCAGAGATGCTCTGATGCCAAATAATGAAACATTGTTGAGGTACAAACTGCCTGGATGTCTCCAAGAGAAGGGTGAGCAACACTGCCAAAGGGAGTTGAAGTGTTTACCAGAGTCTAGAGATTCTACACCAGTAAGACCTGAACACCCCAATGCGGATGAAGCAGAAGGGAATGACCTTAAAAACATCTTCATGAAAATGATAGAGGCCCTCAAAGAGGATGTGAGAAAATCCCTTAAAGAAATGGAAGAAAAAAACTAACCAAAAATGCAAGAAATAGAAGAACAAACCAAAAAATTCAACAAATGTAAGAAAGGGAGGAAAACATGAAGCAAAAATTGCCAGAAACAATTCAAACAGTGCAAGGGTTGAAACCTGACAGGGAGACATTAAAAAAAAACACAGTCTGAAGGGATGCTGGAAATAGAAAAACTGGGGAAATGGCCAGGTACTACAGATGTAACCATAACCAACAGAATACAAGAAGAGAGAATCTCAGGTGTTGAAGATACACTAGGAGAAATAGATTCATCAATCAAAGAAAATCATAAGAACAACAAATCCCTAACACAAAATATCCAGGAAATATGGGACACCGTGAAAAAACCAAATGATACTGCAATGATCAATGGCACGTTTGAGGGCATAGGTAACTGTTTATTGTAGAAATTACTCACAACAGAGAAATGAATAACCCTGATGAGTCGAGCAGTTTTCTGCCACCGAACTGGAAGCCACAAAAAGGAGCAAGCACTCTGCTGTTCCTTCTTTTATTCCTTCCTCCGTACACACCCCTAGCCATGCCCAAAAGTGGGCCTGGCTAGTGGCGTAGTTCCCCTGCCCTGTCTCTAGTCATGCTTAAAGTGGGTGTGGTTAGCGGCGCGGTTCTGTCCTATGATTACCTCATCCGTATGTGTTTTTAGAGTGCCACATGGCTAATGGCAGAGTCCTGTTTCCCCCTACATTCCCATTTTAATCTAAAAAAGATATTTAAACTTAAAACAAAACTAACTTGTGTCAATGAACAAAATGTCTCAAACATCTATCCCATCTAAACCTAAACTTATCTGAAAGAAACACCCAAGTATGAACACCTCCTTCCAATCCCAACTCTTAAAATAATTGAAAACTAACACTAACAGATGTAAACTATCCTATAATATCAATAGTAGGGATTGGGGGCGTGGAATTCTCAAAACTACTTCCTACTGAGATGGGACGATGACAATCTTATGAGGACCTGTGAGAAGAAAAAAATGTTAGTGTAATAAAATCCTAAGTAGATTAGACCGTTTCTGTTTGGCAAGAGATGCTTGTTTGAAGTTCCTGACTGGAGTTCTAGTGTTGACTGAAGCTCTCGTCTGAAGCTCTGGCTAGATTGTGGAAGGTGCACTGTATCAGATCCTTGATCTGGAGTTGTGTCGAGTGATGTAGTTCCAAGTCAGTTTCAGGATAGTGCTTGTCAGGTCGAGTTGATGTGGGGCAGTTCAGATGCATCCAGTCCAATCAGGTGGAGTCAGTGAAGTGGAGCCCCATTCTCTTTCCGAAGCAGTTGAAGATTGATGTCAGGAAATCCCTTGTTCTCTGGAAAACTCAAACATTAATGTTAACAAAGAAAAATTTTAAACTTTCATGTGTATGCATATTGGAAAAGGTGACAATAGGGAAGATGGTAAACATGAAGGAGATTAGAATTTTCAGAAAAGAAATCCACAGATAACTGTCCCTAATTTTATTTTCTTCTGTCTTATGTTAATGGC